CTTTTTCTAGACTAAACACAGGTATGATCCAAAGTTAAAACATATGAGGTTATCATGAGGTTGTTAACATCGCAGTTTATCAGTGGATGTTTGCTGGAACTACTTGTAAACAGCTTGTTTCCTGACGGACACACACAGCGTGACTCCGGTCAGGTAGAGACCGGTCTCAAGTCAGCACCGCTGCAGACTCGCTGTTTGAGGGCTTGATAGCCCACTCCCCCTCCACACCGCTCCACACTCGTTGGTTTGGAACAGCCCTCAATATGGCGGACCCTCCGCGTGAATGCGCAAACGGAGGGGTAGGGTGTAGGGGGCGGTTTGGGAATGGGCCTAAATAATGCATTTTATTTATATGGCTGTCATGGTCGCCGTACAAGATACAAAAACCAAACACCAGCAGAAAAAACATGACAATGAAATCAGTAAGAACAGAGGACGTGTCATGTGATCAGGGTGGATATGCCCGTGTGGAGAGATGTGTTTTCAGACGTGATTTGAAATGGAGAGAGAGTCAATATCCATTATGTCAGGTGGGAGGGAGCTCCAGAGGAGGGGTGCAGAGCGAGGGCTGAAGGCTCTGGATCCTATGGTGGCTAATAATAATAATAATAATAATAATAAAGCTTTATTTATACAGCACTTTTCATACAACACATGCAGCTCAAAGTGCTTTACAAAATGACACATCCCAAGTGGTGGTGCAGTGAGGGGGATGGAAGCAGAAGACCTAAGGGTGAGGGTGGCTGTGTTGATGTGCAGGAGGTCGGAGAGGTAGAGAGGAGGGAGGTTGTTGATAGCCTTAAAAGTGAGGAGCAGAATCTTATCATCTATACGGTATCTGACAAGAGAAGCTGCTGGAGAACAGGAGGGATGTGGTTAATGGGGGGGGGGGGGGTGGACTTGAGAGGGTTGCAGTGCTCGATGTGTGCAGAGAGCAGGGTGAGCTGTGAGGGACGGGTGGAGGAAGTGGATGTTACATTTATGGAAATAAGCAGACCGAATGACACGCTACGTGTTCCCTGTTATTGTCCTGTTGAACTGCTTTGAACCCTTTTTAGAATATTTTATGAATTGTACGGTGTGCTTTGAAAGGCACTTTGAAATATAATGTATTATTACTTATATTCATTGTCTCAACATTATTTATTTAAAAAACATATGAACATCGGTCATTATAAACACATAAGACATTGACATCAGTGCTAGGTACACGTACGAAGTAAACAAATAAAAAACAAACAAGTCATATTTTAAATAAAATATTTGTCAAATACAACGTTTTTATAAATAGTAATAATAAAATAAAAAGAAAGTATAACAAAAAGCCCATCTGAATCCGTCCCATCCTGTTTGTCCTCTGAAGGTCCGGTTATCGCCCTGGAGCTGAGCGGAGGCGGCGTGGTGGACGCCTGCAGGAGCATCGCTGACCAGGTGTTCCCCGGCACCAAGGTGAACGCTTTGAAAGATAAACACAGAAAGGATGGAGCTCACTTCCTGCTCAAACTCCACAAACAAACTCAACATGTTTTACACATGCCCTACGATTCACTAACACACACTTTACAAATACAAAACTAATGCATTTTGTTTTACCTATCAAACAAACACATGACATGTTTCTGGTACTTTAAGTATATTTTGATGCTGATACTTTCCAACCTGAGTAACAACTTCTACCAGAGTACTGCTACACTCTGAGTACTTCTATTTTTACTCAAATACAAGAAATTACTACTTCTACTTTTACTCCAGCATAAGACCTGAGTACTTATACTAAAGTACAAGATCTGAGTACTTCTACTTTACTCCAGTACAAGATCTGAGTACTTCTACTTTTACTCTAGCATAAGACCTGAGTACTTATACTAAAGTACAAGACCTGAGTACTTCTACTTTTACTCCAGTACAAGACCTGAGTACTTCTACTTTTACTCAAGTACAAGACCTGAGTACTTCTACTTTTACTCAAGAACAAGACCTGAGTACTTCTACTTTTACTCAAGTACAAGACCTGAGTACTTCTACTTTTACTCAAGTACAAGACCTGTTTTACTCAAG